ATAAAAAGGAAAGAAGTTCTGATGCTGGCTACCATGTGGCTGAAGCTTGAAAACTTTATGCTAAGTGAAGGAAGCCAGACACAAAAGGACGAATATGGTATGATTCTACTCTTGTGAAATCCCTAGAATAGGCAAATCTATCGAGACAGAAAGCAGGTTCGTGGTGGCCAGAGGCTGGGGAAGGAGGCGTGGGGAGCGACCGCTTAATGGGTGTGGGGTTTCCATTAGGCTGATGAAGAAGCTCTCTAACTGGGTGGTAGTGATGGTTGCACAAGTGTATTTAATGACACGGAATTGTACACTTTAACATGGTTGGAAAGGTAAGTTCTAAGTTATGTGTATTTTACCACATTTTAAAAAGAACAAAACAAGGACCAACTCCAGTCCCCTCCAGGGGCACTGTGCACAGGAGAGGCCTCATTTTAGCTCCTCTGGAACTGTCAGATGAGCACGTCACCTGATTTGGGGCTCAGAAAACACGAGCACCCCAAACAGAGCCTGCTCCTGCCCTTCCTCCAACATCTACCCTTGGGCTCTTAGTGGCCTGAATTCAGATTCTCTGTAGCCTCATTCCTCCAAGGCTCTTGCTGGGACCCAGCTCACTGAAGGCTTTTGGGTGTCTGTGCAATGGCTGCTTCCTCAGATCTCCCCAACCTGCCACCAGCCCCAAGCCCCCGACCCAGCAGCCCTGGACTTGCTCTTCTCCAGGGCCGCTTGGTGTGTGCTGCCCTGGCAGGTGTGGTCACACAAGTGGGCGATGCCCTTTGGGGCTCTGGCCCACTCCCCAAGTCTGTTGCTATTCCAAGACTCTGCAGCACCCACCTGTACATCCCCCAGATTCCATCCCTTTCCTCGAGGGCGTCCCCTGAATCTGCAGCTTTTGCTCCCTCCTGCCGCCCCCCTTAGCTATGGCTTGGGCTCTCAGGATTGCTACCCAGGGCAGGCCAAGGGGAATGTCTCTGCCTTCCTTTTGGGATGCAGGTGGCACCTGGAGCATTTCTCTTCATCCACTCGGGGCAGTGAGGGCAGCAGACCCCAGGCAGTGGGTCTCAGCCCAGGGTGGCTGCTCAGGAAGGATGGGGAGGGTGCCTATCTCACCTGGCCCAGTCACTGACCCCACTTCCTGGCCCAGTGTCTTCCTAGCTGCATGCTCTAGAGATGGTGCAGATGCTGAGAAGGGACTGGATTGCCATCTGCTTTCTCGCCCACTACCCTAGTAAAGGAGGCGAGAGAGGCAGGAGCGCACTGGCGGGTCCCATGCCCTCCCACCCTAGTCAGGTGCCCGCTGTGCTCTCCCAGTCTCCTATTAGGTGCACTGAGTGCCCGGACCCTGCTCCTGCTCCTGCTCTCCCCTGCCTTGGCCCAATGGGCAATGAGGCTGGGCAGCAGGCATCTGTCCATGACTCCTTGGAGGGGCAGAGGGAGTGGGTGACATTCTGGTGACCAAAGGTGGTCTCTGGAGTTATCCCCAAATGATGATCCCACTGGTGTTTCCAACACACTGAGAGCTTTGAAAAATACACATGGTCCAGGCCTCTCTTGACCCTGAGCCTGCCCAGCGGGATCTGCAGGGGTTGGCGGGTTGTAGAGGGTAGGGACCAGGAGGCGATGCTCTGAGATGGAGCAGGGACAGGGCTGAGGATGCTGGGGAGCTGGTAGCTGGTGGCTGGCCTGGAGGCTGAGCTGGGTTCAGGGAGTGGGCCTCTGAGCCCCATGCTTTGCAGACTCCTAAATCCAGCTTCATCTCTGAATGCTGTTTGTTCACAAACTGGAGAAAGTGAAGAATTTCCTTAGGGAGGGTATTAGGGGGGCAGTGGGGCAGGGAGGGGCACCCTACAAAGGACTCCTGCTGCAGAAGGGTTAAACACTGGAGGCTGAGTGCGGCCAGCCTGGGTGCACATCCCTGGGCCTCACTTTCCCCATCTGTTAAGTGGGGATAGCTTCACCGGCCTCATAAGGCGATACGAAGAGTAGGTGAGATCCACACATGAGGGGCTCCGGCGCCTGGAGCCCAGGAAGCACTCAGTCAATGACAGTTAGGAGAGCTGTTGGTGAAATGCTGGAAGCACCCCCTCTGTTTTGACCAGGGATGAGCAGCTGAGTTTGAAGTCAGGGGGCTAGGTGAGACAAGCCTGAGAGACCCCTGAGCTGGAGGCCAGGGACACCCTCGCATGGTCTGGGCAGGGTGCAGAGAGACCCACAGAGGCTTCTGGTGGCCTGGGCTGCACTGTTTACAGTTAAGCATCATTTTAAGGAGTAGAGGGTGGAGGATGTTGGGAAGGAGTGGAAGAGGCTGCTGGGTGCCAGGATGGATGTACCCAACCCTCATTGCTCCCACCTAGCCAGGCTCAGCAGCTGGACCCCAGCTGGGCCATTTTTGGGTGGTCCCATCTTCCCCTGGGACATGTCCCCAAACAGACAACCTGAAACCCTGAGGCCTCCTCCCTGCTGCCTCCCCTTGGAGCTACTTTATTAGTCGCAGCCTCCCAAAACCCAAGCTCAATAACTTCAGTCAACCGAGCGCTTGGAAAGAGCCCTGGACTTGGAGCCAGAAAACCTGTGATCTCAGGGGAGTTCCTACACCTGTTTCCTCGGCTGTAAAATGGGCTGGTTCCTCCCTCCGTGGGCTAGTTGAGGATTAGATGATAAATGTTATAATGGGTTTTGTGGATTGCAAAGCAATCTACAAATGCCCACAATTAAGGTATTATTATCCAGATTCCAAGACCTCCCTCGCTCCCAGATCTGACTCCGTCCCCAGTCCTGGTCTGCCTATCAGCAGCAGGGGGCCTGAGGAGGCCTGGAGGGGAAGCTCAGGACCCCAGGGCATGGGCTCTGCTGTCCTACTCAGGCAGGCAGGAGGAGCCTGAACTGGAAAACAATGCTCCACAGTGTGGCTTTTCCTCCACTGCTGATCTGTACCCATGAGGGAGGGTCTCAAGGAGGAATGGGCTCAGGCGGGGGGCATTTTAGGGGACTGCAGCCTCTGGGTGTGGCGTGGAGAAGAAGTCCTCCAGGCTGGAGAGAGCAGCCTGTCCCACAGTGACCCCCACCCTGCAGCTGTCCAGCCCCTCCCCGCAGAGTAGTGACGTGTGTCTGTGGGCCCATCACACCAGACTCACCCCCGAGGGTCCTCTTCCCACCCACCCACAAGTCAAACCTCAGGGCAGAGGTGGGGTGTGCCTTGACCCCACCACCAGAGCCCAGAACACACACCAGCCGTGGAAGGGTTAACCCTTGGACACCTGCCTCAGGCAGGAGGGGCTGAAGTTCTTTGGGGTCCAGATGTTCCCAGCTGGCCCTGAAGCAGCCCCTCCACCCTCACAATCCCTGGATGGAAGGGGTCCCAAGGCTCATCTGGACCAGCCCCTGCCTGCCCAGGGATCCCCTACAGCTTCTCTGATGACCACCAGCCTGGTCTTGGGGGTGTCCTCTGATGACCTTCCAGAGCCAGCAGCTCTGAGCTTTACAGTCGGTTGCTGGTGTGGGTCCCGGGGAGCTGCTCATCTCTGTCCCCGTCTCAGGGGCCAGGGGTGCTGAGCGCACAGTAGGCGCTTGGAGGGAGCCCATCAGCTAAAGCCACGAAGAGGCACAAGAAGGAAAGTGGGGCACTGCCCCGGCTTGGCCCCCTCAAGACCCCTTGTCTACGCAAACCCCTCACAGAGTGCCCCCGCTCCTCCCTCCTTGGGATGCCCCTGCCCCCTCTTTGTGTCATTGTCCAGGAACAGCCTCGCTGTCTCACTTCTCTTCCTTCCTTGGGTGAAAGGTGAGTTGAGAAAGATACTTCAATTTGTGGCCGTTTGAGACTCATTGGTCACTTCTGGTCCCTCCTGTCAGTCAGGACCCTTTATGGGGCTCCTCCCCCACCCCCAAGTTGCTCTGGAAGCTGTCAGCCTATCTCCATCCCGGTGTCCCCTAGTCCCCTCCTCACGTCTACCTCTGCTCAGCTGGTCCCCCCATCTCTCTACTTAAGGGACAGAGCTAGGGGAGTTGGCAGAGCAGGGTACCCAACACAGCCTTCAGGGACACCCCCAGCCCCTCCCTGGGGCCAGACCCTCCCCCATCAGATGTCCCTCCCTCAGTAGGAGCTTCAGAGCTCTCAGCACGAGTTGTCTCGGTCTGTGTGTCCTGGGCACACACTTACACCTGCACGGCTCTCCTCCTTGGTCGGAGACCCAGAGGCAAGACAGGGATGCCCCAGTCCTGGTATGTGCCAGAGGTGGAGTTTTGGTGTCCCCCCACCCCTTAGGTCACAGGACACGCTGGCTTCCACCGCATACTGCTGTGTCTGAGCGCGCTCTCTTGGCCTCCTTGTGGCCCATGTGGCCACTGGAAGTGCAGAGGGATTAATGCCCCTTGGGTGCAGCCTTCACCCGTGACTGATGGAGTTGGTGGATAAATAGCCCTCACCCTTTGGGTGGGATGATGGAAGTGTCTGTCCCACTCTGGGTCCCCAAGCTTCCAGCAAGATTAAGCTCCAGCTGCCCACAGCGGTGGCCCTATGGCCACACCCACCCTTCCTCGCCACCTTCCTTTCCTGGCCTCACGTTCTCACCAGATCCCTGTGCTCCAGTCTGCTTCTGGGGAGCCCAAGCTAAGACAGCATTCAAGCCTGTTCAGCCCCCCACCCCAGCTTCCTAACTCTGCTTCCTGTTTCCAGCTCAGCTCCTCCCCAGGCCCCATGGCCACACCCTTTGCTCAAGCTGTGCCCCGCCCATGGTGTCCTTCACCTGCACCCTTCACCCATGGCCTTGGCCCTTCTCTCCCTATAGGTCGCCCGCTTACAGAGCTGACCTTGTTAACTGGGCCTGGCCAGACCCTTGCCCTTCTCCTAAGTCCTCTACTAGCCTTCTGGGACTCGCCTAGCACCCCATCCTTGACAGTGTGTGAGTGCTACCAGGTTTCCCAGCCAACAGCATCCCTGAAGACTGAGATGGCCTCCATTTCTCTTGGGGGCCCTCTCCACCCAGCCCCAGCACAGTCCAGACCTTCACAAATGCTGGTTGAAAAGATAAATACTATTATTTACATCACCACCCACCTCACAGCCAACACCCTCATCTCCCAGCCCTGTACCCCCAAGGCTCTGCTCTGGCTGTCCAGTACCTCTGGACATGGGTAGGTCCAGGGGGTGCTGGGCCAGTCCACCCCAGGGTGTAAGCGGTCCACTGACTGGTTGCCCCAAGAGCCACTTGTCCAGCTCTGGGGCACTGGGGGCAGAGAGGTGCTGAGCACCCATCCCTTCTCCTTTCTTTGCTTAGCTAATGATGCTGTCCCAGAAGCCATCCAGGGGCATGAGCTCCCTGACCAGCAGAGGGGTTGCCCCAGAGGCTGGGCCCCTGAAGCCAGCAGGATGATGGCCCCAAATACTCTCTGCCCCTCAAAGAGAGGCTGGCTTTGGCTGAGACACCCCTTGGCTCTTGCTCACAGGCCATTCCGTCACTCCCCCACCCCCATCTTCTCACAAAGGGATGCCCCTGGGGCGGGCAGTGACAGCAATCAGGGTGAGATTATTGTTGGTGGTTGGGTGGGGGGGGGGGGCCCTGTGGCCAGCAGGGTAGCAAAGGTCCACAGGTGCAAGGCAGCAAGACAGGGCATTTCTGGGGGCAGTGCCACAGTGCTGGATGAAGTTCTGGTGGCTTGGGAGGGTTTCTAGTGATGTGGCCTGATGTCTGATGATGTCACCCGATTTCTAACGATGTCACCAGGGCTTCTGACAACGTGGCCTTGGTTCCCAGTGGTGCTGGAAGGCATTGCTAAGGCCCAGGGGCATCATCTCATGTTGAATGCTGTCGCAGGAGTTTCCTGTGATGCCCCTGGGGCAGCAAGCGGCCCGACGTTTGCTGAGGATGGCCCCAGGGCTCTGGTGGGTTGACCTTTCTGTGCTCTGGGAGCAGACTCCTCTCAGAGGGACCCATGTGCTGCTTTAAATTTCCCGTCTCCCCATTTCCACGCCATGCTCAGCCTATTCTCCAGGGGCCCTGTGGCCCAGCCTGGTACTATCAGTTATTGTCCGTCGTCCCGTGGCCCAGACTGCTCTCAGGTCTAGAACTGCTGCCCAGCCTGCGGTTGGGGGGGCCTCCCAGGTTCTCAGTACCAGCTGCTCCTGGGGGTACAACGTGTGGGAAGGAGCTGGTCCCTCTGCAGACGGGGCGGCCGGCTGAGCCTGGTAATCATCTTCCCAACCATAGATCTCGGGGGCTGCTCCCTGGCCCTCCAGCTCAGACTGCCGTGGACTGCTTGATGCTGTGAAAGCTGACACGGGTGGGGGAGGTGGGGATGGACATGGCGCGGGCCACCCGGGCACGGATGGAGTGCTTGTCCTGCCATCGGTGCCACCTCTTCCGGATGGCAGAGCGGACCTGTGGGCGCAGAGCAGAGCATAAGGTCTGAGCCTGGGTCTCAGGACCCTCCTCCCTCCCCTAGGGCTGCCGCAAGCAGCTATACAGGTAAGCAGCTGCACAGGAGAGCAGCTGCACAGGTGAGCAGCGGGACAGGTGAGCAGTATACAGGTGTGAGGTGCATAGGGGGCCACATAGGAGGCGGCGACATTCACATCATCAACATTATTGATTTGCATATCTGTTGGGACAATTTTCTCAAGTGTTCTGAGGTAGGGGTGCTTTTTTTAAATTCACACAAAAGTGCCACAGGGCCTTTGCCGTGAAGAACCCCTACCCTCAGCCCACAAGAATCCCCTGCCGGAGAGCTCAGCTTCCTGAGTTTAAATAAGCCATTTCATAGACTCATTGATGAGACTGAAGCCCCAGCTTCTGTGCCGCCCCCCATGTCAGCTGCCTATGAGAACAAAGAGGGTGGGCTTGCTATTGCAGGAGCAGTGTGGAAAGGGGGCCAGGGGCCCTCCTCGGCTCCTAGCAGCATCCCGACAGGGACCTGGGAGCAGGGAGGAGAGAGCCTGCATGTGGAGGGCAGGAGGTGGCTACAGACAAGCTCTGGTCTGACAGGCCTCCTGCCCTCCTGGGCCCAGCCCGGGGTCCTTACCTCGCTGTTGAGGAAACAGTAGAACACAGACACGAAGAAACCCTGGGGTGGAGGGAGAAGGCGGGTCAAGGGCCTGGGGTGGGTGTGGCGCCCCCAGCCTCTGGCTGCCCCCCTCCTCTCCCCAGCTTTGTGCCTCTGCCTAGGAGAATCCCCACCCAAGGAGGGGCAGGGGACGCGGGGGTGGGGGTGGGGGGGGGGAGTGAGGGCGGGGCAGCTGTACCTGGAAGGATTCCAGGAAGGAGTTGAAGTAGATGAAGACGACCCGGGAGACCTCGTCCTCCCCAGGGTTCACGAAGAACAGCATGTACGTGATGCCCAGCAGGGGAAGCAGCACCAGAGTGGCCTTCACAGCCTTCCTGGAGGAGGAGGGTGCCAGGGGTGGGGAGGCCCAGGGTCACAGGCCACCCCAGGATGGGGCTGGGGCCTCTGGCTTGGTGAACAGGACCGGGTCTGGGGGAGGTGGGTGGCAGGTCCCAGGAAGGCCTGAGACAGGGGAGCTGGGGTTTCAGGAGGGACTGCAGGGCCTGGGGGGTGACCCTGGCTCAGAAGCTAGGCTCTCCGAAGCCCCCATGGGTGGGGGAAGCAGGACCAATTACCTGTACTGAATGGTCTCAGACGTGGTGGATGCCCGAAGTTTGGTCATGAGGATGCGGACGATGTTGAAAAGGAAGATAAAATTGATCTGCAATTTGAGCACACGGTGTGATGGTGTGGGCATGTATGAGTGCAAAATGTTAGGGGCAGGAGGTTGGGCCGACAGGTCAGGGACTCAGCCATCTCAGGTCTGGTCTTGGTTCCCTTGTCGTCATTCACATTGGCACATCCTGGCCCTGCATGTCCCACCTCTAGGCAAAGGGATCCTTTGGCTAGGGAGGCGCTGATGGCCCCTCCGGCCTGTGCCCTTCTCTCCTGCCCACCTGCCCAGGTTCTTACCAGCAGGACCAAGATCATGGGGCCCTGGTAGATGTAGTCGGTGTACACGCCAGGCCTTTTGCCAAACCAGCACCTAGAAGGCCACAGAGGGGAGGCGAGAGGAGGGTCATGTGGGTCCAGTTCAGTGGCACAGGGAGGGGTAGTGGGTAGGACTGGGGCTGAAAGCCAGGCTCTGGGGGCCCCAATTCCAACCTTGGCAGAAGGTCAAGCCATTTGACCCCACCACAGTGCCTCAGCTATCCCACCTGCAGAATGGATAGCATCCTCTATTAGGAGGTGTAAACCTGAAGGCACGGAATTGTGGCAGGAGGGGATTGTGGGAAAGACCACTGAGCAGAACAGGCAGGGGCCCAACACACCACTGCTCCCCTCGGTCCCCACTGTGGCTCTGGCACATGCCCATGTGGTGCCTTGCACTGCAGCTTGTCACACAGTGGGCACCCAACAGCTAGCAATCCCTAAAGCCGTTTAACTGCGGCTTGAACCACCTTGAGGCAGATTCCACAGGTCCCACCTGTTGGGAGAGGCAGAATCGCTTTGCATTTTCCTGCATTTCCCTCCAGCAAGCTCTGGGGAGGTCTGGGGGGTGGTCAGGGACAGGGAGGTCCCATGTCCTTGTCCAGAGACCATGGCCCCGGGGATATGCAGACTCGTGCATGTGCCTAGATCTCATGATGCTTCCATAAACCAGAACTGAGATTTTTATGTGAAACCTCTTGACTCTTTAAAGGTTGGCAACAAATTCAAGTTTTCAAAAAACACTGTGCAGACCAAACGCAAGCTGTCTAGGGCCAGGTCCAGGCCTTGGCCTCTGGTTGTCAAGATTGTTTCTGATGTCTCAGCCCTGGATCCCTTCGCTGCAGTGTCAGCATCTTACCAGTAGGTGGGGCTCCAGAGCCGCTCGGAGGAACTTCAGCTTAGGCAACCTTTTCCGTCCAAGACACACACAGACACCCACACCGGGCAGTTCTTCCTCTCCTCCCTTGTACTCACACCTGCACACCTCCAGGCATAGGCGCCACCGTGCAGGCCACCACTCTGGGCATCACTGCCAGGCCCCCAGTTCTGTCTGTCAGCTGGCCACCCTCCCAGCTCCAACAGCTGTACAGAGGCGTGAGCGCCAGCTGGGCCCAAGGCAGGAAAGAGTCACCCTGATAAACATGAATATCATTTTCCAGGCTCCTTGTCGAGCCCAGTGAGGTTGCGGCGGCCCCCGCTCCCCTCTATGTGGGGGGAACAATTGTCACTGTGACGGAGGTGCCTGGCACCTCAGTCGGATGGTGGGTTCCTGAGAACACTTGGGCAGAGAAGATCCTGGCCCCTCCCTCAGCTGTCCATGTGCCCTTTTTCTGTCTCTCTCAGTGGTTCTCGATCTTAGCTGCACATCAGAGTCACCTGGGCAGTTAAAAGACACCCCAGTGCTCAGGCCACACTCCAGACCAATTACATTCAACTACCCAGAGGTCAAGCCCGGGCGCCAGTACTTTGTAAGCTTCCTGGGTGATTCTGACGTGAGCTGAGGCCGAGACCCACCGCAGCGGAAACTTAGTTTTTGGGGGTGATTGGGAACACCTTCCTCCATTTATCCAGGCACCTCAGGACTGCAGAGCTGGAAGGAGCCTCTGAGATGGTCTGGATCAATTTCTATTAAATCCATGGAATCTTTTGTTAAGTCAATCTTAATATTAATAGAAAACATTTATATGACGTTTACTATGTGCCAGATACTATTCCAAATGCTTAGCCCAGCTCAGGCAGAGCACTAGTCGGGAGCCCGGACTGACCAGCCCCAGCATCCTCCATTTATAGATGGAGAAACTGTGGCCCTGACAGGGCAGGTGATGTGGCTGCAGGCCCCTGGGGAGTGTCGGGCAGAGCTGGGCTGGGAGCCTGGACCTCGGGGCTCAGGGGCCCTGAGGGCGGTGACGGGAAGGAGGTGACTTACTTCTCGTTGTCGTAGTAGAGTTTCCCAATGGCCCAGGCCACGATGATGGGGAAAGGCACACCTGGGGGAGAGACCGGCTGTCCCAGAGCCTGACGGTGGGGTCTGGGGAATGCAGGGCCTGGAGGCCCCCCGTGCAGCCCAGGGCCTAGAGGCGGGCAGTGGTTCCCTGGGGTAGAGTCTGTACTCTACGCCCACATGCCCCCTTCAAGATGTCCCCGCCACCCCCAACCCCCAAGTAGGGGCAGAGGGCTGTGGCGCATACCCCCACCCCAAGCTGGCCTCAACTTCTCAGGCGCCCAGCCAGCTGGGCTGAGTGTGGGGGAGGAGAGGGCAGCCCCGCCAGGGCAGGGGGCTGGCCCGCTCACCCCAGCCGATGCAGATGAACATCCACTTGCGCAGCCGGTCAGTGGAGTAGGTGAGCACGATGGCCGTGTGCAGGTAGCAGCCCTCTCCAAACATCCAGAAGAAGTTGGTCACGTGGAAGTAGTTGTAGGCGGCTGTCACCAACCGGCACCAGCCCTGCAGCCCCACCCCCATCAGAGATGACGATGAGCCAGGGCACGGGTGGGGGCAGCAGCAGCACCGACCCTCTGCCTGGGCCTCCTCTCGGCAGGATGGGGCACCCCCCAGGCTCCACTCCTGTTCTATGGACCATAAGGCCTGGCCCCTGGCCCTCCTTCTCCCTTCCTCTGACCCTGGGCCTGCCCCTTCAGGACGCACCACGTTGCTCTGGTGGACTTCAGGGCTCATGGTGAGCTGGACCACGAACCATGTGGCATTGCGCAGGATGAAGGCCGAGATGAGGTTCCAGTGGATGATGTTTCTCAGGCATCGGATGCTCCTAGGAGCAGCAAGGGAGGGTGGGTGATAGAAGCAAGGGGAGGAGAGAGAGGATGAGGGACAAGTTGCCAGCATCACCCCAGCCCAGGTGTATGGTTGAGGAAACTGAGGCTCAGCAAGGAGCTGACTGGCTAGGTCACACTGGGAGGTGGTAGCAGAGGCTCTCCTGATGCTCCATGGGGCCCTTCCTACTTGTGGCCTGCCCAGCTCTGGGGCAGAGCCTGGCACCTAGGTGGTGCTCCAGGGACCAGGGGCTGCTTACTTGTTGGAGATGCCCCTTCTCCCGGGGGCCCCTCTGCTCCCTATAGTTCCAGGTTTGAGGGCCAGAAAACATCAAAGGCTTCCAGCAGATGCCTCACTCCCAGCTTTCAGCCTCATGCTCAGCTCTGCTCCCTCCCCCCCATTCCTGGCACTGACCTGCCTGGCACTGCCACTGGCATGCTTGGCAGTAGTGCTGGACCAAGGCAGGTGTAAACCCAAAGGGGCTCCAGCATCCTGGTCTCTTAAATGGGTGCAACTGGTCTGGGAGTGGGTGATACAGGTGAGCCTGGGCTTTGGCCATCCCATCTTCCCGCCAGCAGTTACTGGTCAGGGGCAGAAGCGCCCCTCCCAGGAGTTCCAAGACACTTGGGACTCCTACATCTGTCACCCCTCCCACTGAGGTGAGGGGTCAGGATCCCCCTTCCCAGCAGCCGCAGCCCAGAGCTGCCCTGCCTCTTACTTCTCCACCCTGCTTAAGGCCCAGGGACAGTGCTGGGACCTTCTCACCTGAGCCGCAGAAAGAGGACAAAGGCCACCAGGAGGGCCACCAGGGAGATGCAGTGGCCCAGGTAGTTGATGATGACAGCGACATGGTAGTGTACCTTGCTCTTCTTCTGAGGTGGGAGAGAGGGGCAGAAGTGAGGCTCCCACACAGCCGCACCCCTGCGCTCACGGACGTGTGAGGACGGCCCCATGGGTGGCCGGGACAGAGTGATCATGGTAACAAAGCTATCCCTCTTCCTGCGCCCCGACCCGTGTCAAGCATTGCCGAGGGCAGCGGCGTCCAATTTGAGGGTATCTCTCTGCCCTGGAATCCCACGCTCTGTCCACTGCTCTGTGCTGTCAGACAAGTATCCGTGACCTTGAGTCTCCACATCATGCAGGGTTCCCCACTCTGCGTGCACAAACGCGTGTGCACAGCTCACAGCTGTGCTCTCACGCTCACATTCCCACTTAGTCCTAGCACCGGGGGGCCCTCGGGGTGCAGACCTCTAGGACTTCCTTCCTGCACCCATTTCTGAGTTGACCCACCATCTCCTCCATCAGCCCTAACTCCCTCCTGTCGCAGTTGAGGCCGCTCCTATAGGTAAGGAGAGGAAGGGTGGTCGCTGTGGAGCAGCATCCAGAGAATCATTAAAAACCAGAGAAAATCTCTTAGGGGCCATAACTCGCTTCCTCGGTCCCACCCCTGGCCCAGGAGGTCTGCTCGAAGTGAACAGGGTCCTGACCCGGGACTCTAACAGAGTCTCCAGTGTTATTAGTTCATTTCATACACTGAAGGAAGCTGGAAACATCGTGGTCCCGTCTCCAAGCAATGTAAGCTCCATGAGTGACAAAGCCTTCCTATTTACAGAGTATTTCATATCTTTATCTTCTCAACCCCTCAAGGAACCCCGTGGGAACAGCTGAAAGGGGTGTGGACTTTACTTTGCAGAAAACCAGGCCCAGAAGTATGCTGACTCATTCAAGGCCACTCAACTTCAAACCGCTTCTTACCTGCACAAGGTATTCAGGCTGCAAATGGTCCCCACCCAATAATGGGGGGCTGGTGGTCCCCAGTGCCCGGCTCTATGCAGACTCCTGCTCCCCAAGAGCAAAACCCCCATTCACCCTTTTCTAGGTCCTGTGAGGGCAGGGCTAGAGAGCCAGAGTGTGGATGTTGGAAAACAACCGGCTTTTCAAAGAGAAGTCCCTGTTAGCACCCCCTCCCTTACCCTTTCCAAGCTCTGGGGTGGGGCTAGGGAATGATGATGCACAGAAACTGGCCAGTATTGACAAAAAGGTGAGCTCACAGAGGACTTATGTGTTTTTTGAGCCACCAAAGAGCTCCTGGCTCTCCGTGGACCTTCCTGTCAGAATTAGAGAGCCCACGGATGTCATAGCTAGTCCTAAGGGATCAAATCCAGCCCCACCCATCTTCCAGCTGAGGAAACTGAGGCCCAAACTCACCCACCCAGGGACAAGGGATGCGCCTCTGCGGCAGGACCCCAGCAGGCATCTGAGAAGGGGCCAAGCCCTCCCTCCTTGCTCTCCCTGGCCCCCGCCGCATCCCTTCTGAAGGGGCGTCCTCACTGAAGAAGCTCTGGGGTCCAGGAGGCCCAGGGAGCTCTGTGCTAGGGCCTGGTTTTCCTGGCAGAGGCTGTCAGGAGCATAGCAGGAAATCACATTAGCAACTCAGGTCTCAGAAGGGGCGAGACCCAGGGGGCTGTAAATGGAGGCAGGCGAGAGAGGGCAGAGGGCAGAGGGTAGTCATCACAGCCACGCAAATGGGGAGCGTCCTTGAGTGCCTGGCTGTCATAGATGCCAAATCCAGAGACTCCAGAAGACGTGCACACATCCAGCCTGTCTGCAGCTGGTACCTCATTTCCTTTTATTAAATTTTCCATAATCTACCCTGTGAAGCCCCCGGGTAGTAACAACGTCTGTGGGAGCCCAGACCCGCGTGGTGTCCCCGCTCTGTTCACAGGCTCAGGTGGACGAGACAGCAGAGTGTGTAGGGAGGCCCTTTGCCACCACCTGCCATCAGCTGCCCCCCGCCCCGGCCACTGCAGCAGGCCATGCCTGGGTCATTTGCTTTAGGGTGGGATGGGTCATTTATTAAGCACCTCCTGTATACTGGGCACTGCATCAGGCACTTTACAGACGTCATTGCTTTTCCTTGTCGCTGCTGCCCTCAGAGACTATCCATCTGTCCTTTTTTCCAGCTGAAGAGGCTGCATAACTGGCCCAAGCCACCCAGCCAGCAACTGGAATTCAGGTCTGCTTGACCTTAAAGACTCTCGTGCCCTGTCCCCACAGTGCACTTCTTGGGGGAAAAGGAGGGGCTGAAGACAGAGGCATTCTGTCCATCCTGGCCCAGGATCCTCGGAGAGCTTCTGCAGGAGGATGGGGCTCCACAGGGATTTTCTCCACCGAGGCTCAAAGGGGAGAATTCGGCCAAACCATTCGGGGTGCCGTGTCTGCGTGACTCAAGCTGTGTGATGCAAACTGAGAAACAGCGAGTCAGCTGGGAGTTACAGTGCAGAGAGAGGCCGAGAAGACTGCTGGAGAGACAGCAGTGTCACCCCAAGAGACGACCAGAGTCACCAGGACAGATAGCCAGAGACACCCTTTGAGATGGCCAGCAATATCCTGAGAGGCGGTCAGTGACACCAGAAAGAACAGCCAGCTACATCGTAAGAGATACCCAGTGACACTCCAAGAGACCCTAATGACACCCTAAGAGACATCAGTGACCTCCTGAGAGAAAGCCACCATTCACTGCAGACGCAGCTAGGTGTTTGAAGGACAAACGGACACAGCCAATCTCTGGGGACCTGATCAGTACTCTGTCCCTGTCCAATTTGGAGACCTAAGACTGGCAGTTACCCTGAGGAAGGTGGCACAGTGTGGCACTGGGCAGAGGCCACTCTGCTGCACCCCCAGTGACCAGAATCCAATAAGTAATTAGTGCTGGGTCAATCCTGACCAGACTCTCTGCAAGACACATCTTGTCCCAAACGGCAGCAGTGTCAGACCTGTCTAGAAGCCTTTTCGGGATGGGGCAGAGTCCCCGCTGCCTGGGCTCTCTCCCATCCCCAGCTGGCCCCACTTTGTGGCTCTTCCTTTCCACCTGGGTTTCCTGAGCTACTCCCTCACCCCACCAGTGGGCACTCCAGCAACATCAGCATCACCTGGGAGCTTGCAGAAATCTTAAGAACGGCAGACTCTTAAGCCCCACCCAAGACCCACTGAGTCAAAATCTTCATTTTAGCAAGAAGCCCAGATGATTCCAAAGCATTTCAGAAGCCCTGGTCCAACAACCCCCCGCTGTAAGCAGGGAACCCTGGCCCACAAGCCTATGCCCCTGAGTCCCTTTCATGTCCCATCACGGTGTGCCCTCCCAGGATGTGCCTAAGACCCAGGCTCCCTGTGCTCAGCAGAGTGTGGGGGAGGGGAGCAGAGCGTGCAAGGTTCTTGAGACGGGGGAGGGGAGAGTCTGGGGCAGTCGGGAGGTCCCTGCAGTGGAAAAGACAGCGTGTGTCTGTGTGTGTGTATGTGTGTGTGCGCGCGCGGGGGTGCTGATACGGGGAGCAGGGGCCCATGTATGGTGGTGCTGGGGGGTCAGTGCCATCCCTAGGGGCTGGGCCATGCACAAGCCAAGCTCCCTCTCTGGGGGCTCATCCCTGGTGGTGATGGCTGTCAGCAGATCTCCCCGCCTGGCCTCTGGGCGCCCTCACAAGTCCCATTTCACAGGCAGCCGTCCTGCGAATCCATTATCTGCAATCCCCTTGGGGTGCTGGTGCTTAATTAGGGCTTAGCCTGGGCCCAGAGCTGAGAAACGGGGCTGCTCCATTAATTGGAGACTTTCCTCTTCGCAGTGACTCCGGGAGAGGACAGAGAGTGTTGGGAGTGGGGAGGGGTCTGGCCAGGCTGCAGCTGGCAGAAGGGGATGGCATTTTAACTAATTAAATTAATTGATTATCCAGAGTGCTAGGCGACCAGGTGGCAGGGACTGCGGGGGAAGGGGGTGGGTGGCAAAACCAGGCAGGGCAGGCTGGGATGGGGGTGGCAGCCCCTATCCTGTCGGTAACCAGAAGAAGGGGGTGCCCATGTTACCTGTGGTCTCCTCATGGATGACCCCCACCCCCACCCCAGGTGTACACTGCCACTTCCCCTGACCCCAGGTGAGGTGAGAGGCAGAGGAGTGGCAGATGGATGGAGTGCACTCCACAGGCCAAGACACAGGCGGACCCCACCCTCCCTCTACCAGGAGGCAGAGATTGTGTTACTCTCGGCTCTTTTACAGACAAGGAAGCTGGGACTTAGTGAGGCTGAATTACCTGCCCAGGGTCGCACAGCACAAGTGTTGGAACCAGAATCCAAACCCCAAACCGTCCCCCTCCAAAGCTCACGCTGTTCTGTGATACTGCCCAAGAGGGGACTGATGAGAAGCTGGTGCTCCCCCATCCTTCTGGCCCTTACCCTGCTGGTGGAGAGAGGGAGAGACCCCTGTCCCGGTGGAAGGGATGGGAGCTGCAGGACGAGGAGAAAGGAAGGCTGAGGGCAGCTGTCAAAGACCTTGAGTTTGAAGGGTGTTGGGGGAAAGGCAGGTTGTTGAGAGCCGCCAGTCAGCCAACTACAAGAAAAGGGCTTAAATTAGAGCAGGAGAGCTTTGGGTGAACCATGAACTTCCCCTGACATTCAGGAGGCTCCAGTGCAGGGAGCGAGGCTGGGAGCAGCTGCGACATCTCCAGCTTTGCCACTGTCCAGGAAGGGGACAGACACCTGCTCTGCTGGGGTGGGGGCAGGGGTGTCTGTCCTAAGGCAGGAGGCTGGAGACCAGACCCTCAACTGGAGATACATCCAGTTGGAGATACATTGTCTGCCTCAGGCTCATGCAGACCCAGCAGGACGCTCAGAACACCAGGTGGGGTGCAGTGGTGGGGCTGAAGACTTCTTGCCTTCGCCATCCCTCCCTCCTACCATCCTCTCTGGGCATCAGCTGTGGTCCTAAGAGTCACCGACTGCACTGATCTGCCTTTCTAAGCATGAGCCCCGTTTCCCGTGCCACGCCCTCCCCACGCCCCACTGTGTGCCAGGTAAGGAGTTCTCCACCCTGCTGAGTGGTCTTCTTGCCAGTACCCCACCCCATCCAAGCCCAGCTCTTCTGGATTAACTGTTTCCTGACTTGGAACCCCACTTCCCTCCCCCATCTAGGGAGTGCCCTCATCCCCCACCCCAGGACTTCCCAGTGGGCTCACTGTGTGCATGCTTAGCAACCTGGGGGCTCTCTTTGCTGAGGTCAGGTGGTCAGGGAGCCAGCCAGGCTACCCCAGCCTGGGTGGGCCACATGTTCTGGCCTGTGTGATCTGAAATGCCAGGGAGCCTCTCCCCCTGCATCCCAGGGAACCTTTTCATCCTGCCAAAGCAGCACTATTCTTTCAGACTAAGCTTCACCCTCTCTTTGCAGCTTCTGGAAGGAGACAGCAGAGCCCCAAGATCTCAGGGACGTGAGGTCAGGCAGCCTGGGGGAGGGGCTAACAAAGCGCTCAGGACGGGGTAGGGTGCTAGGGGTAGAAAGCTGTCCTCTCACAACCCACCTCGCTTCACACCCAGTACCTGGCGGTGGGCAAAGGACAGCTGGACCCCAAGGCCCCCGGTTCCAGGCTCTGACTCACTCTGGCCATGTGACCTTGCGTGAGTCACTCCCCCTTCCTGGGCCTTAGTCTCCCCGTCTGTGAGGTGAATGGGTTGCACTACATCAGAGCTTCTCACTTTTTCCCCATCAGAAGGCTCCCCCGGAGCACTTGTTAAAAATACAGATCCCGAACTCATCCTTGGAGAGTTTGATGTATTGGGTGTTGGGTGTAGCCCTGGGACCTATGTTTGAACAAGGGCTCCGGGTGATTCTTATAACCATGCAGGTCTAGGGACCACAAGATGGGATGGAGCGTCTGCAACCTCCCTCCCGATTCATATCTTTTAGGTGCTGGAATTCTCAGGACTGCCTGGACCAGCCCCTCTCTTCCACACCCTGGAAACCTGGGGCCCTCGGACGGCTTGGGGCATCTTCCCTTCTGCCCTTCATTTTCTTCTCACTGGTTCTTCCAGCTACATGACCCCCACCTTCCTCAGCACTCACTGAGGGGTGGGTGGAGATGCCGGGGAGGGGGCAAGGGGCCCAGAGGCGGCAGCAACACCAGGAGGATAGATACACCCGTGCATCTGCTAAATGTCACCCTTAAAAGATTATTCATTGCGGCACTGTCTGTAATAACCAAAGACTGAGAATAAAGATGGTTAAATAAATTACAGTACATCTGCACAACGTGATGTTATGCAAATGTAGAAAAGAATGAAGAGGCTCTTTATGGACTGATACAGAACAATCTCCAAGATGGATGATTACACCAAAAAAGCAAGGTGCCAAAGAGTGTGTGTAATATGCAGCATTTGAGCAAAAACAAAAAAGAATATATATACACGATCACACACATGCGCAGAGAATGTCTCTGGGAGAGCACTTAAGGAGCTGCAAAATGGTTGCCTCTGGGGAGGGAACCCGTGGCTGGGAAGGGGGGCGGGAAGGGCAGGGGGGGAGACTCTTCTCTGTATTTCCATTTGTATCTTTGAATTTTGTATTATGCAAAAGCAATATCTTCTCAGAAACATTTGAAGATTTAAAAAGCTCTCTAAGGGCTTTTTTGACGGCACTGCTCCCCTCACCCCATCCCTCACTCCGTTACAGGCCCCCATTGGACCTGGATGTGGTACACAGGTGGATGTGGTGGAAAACGGATGAGAACCCGACCCAATGAGTGAAGGAGGAGGGGAGGAAGGGACAAAGGCCCAACTCATGCCTGCCAGAGCCTGCCCACTGCGCGTCTGGCTCACCCTCCCCTGGGGGATGCCTGCTCCGGGCGTGAGCTCTGGCTCCCCAGTCGGCTTCCCTTGGGCCAGGCCTCGGTGTCAGCCTCTGCCCACCCCCACCCCTGGCCTCGCAGCAGGCACAGACCCCTCAACACGGGCAGCCTCGCTGGGCCCTGCCTCACCTCCTCGGTGAGGATCTCCTGGCACTCGGAGTAGTTCACGCGGGCAGCCCAGCTGCCATTGGCCAGGCACTCCCGGTAGCCATTGTCTGGAGAAAGAAGAGAGAGTCAGAGTGACCCTGGACTCCTCTCCCGAAGACCAGCCTGGGCATCTGTCTGTCCATCTATCCATCCACCTGGGCCAGCACAAGGGCCTGCTGGCTGGGCAGCTCTGGGGTGAAGTGGGGAGAGGGGCTTCCCTGCCACCCCCACCCTCCTGCCCACTGGCCCCCAACAGGCGTACAGTGGTGACCCTAACACCTGCCCATAGGGCCACGGCTCTGCCCACCCAAGCTGGCACGGTCATGCCCGTGGGACTGGCCCAGGGCAGGCTTGACCAGTTCACCACGCAAGCCCGTATGTCGTGGCAGATTATGTGGTGGGTGCCCTTCTGAGAAATCTCCCATTCTGGGGTCTCACGTGGCAGCAAAAAGAATGGTGAGATCTCATGAGTCAGTTCTCATTCACGTGGCTGGGCATGACGTGGCGGAAGGATGTGTGGTGACAGCTCACGTGGCACACTGAAATGGCAGGGCTTCGTATGGTGGACTCTCTGTGGTGAGGTGTCCCGTGGGGTTCCTTACATGGCAGGTTTCACATGGGGTGGGGCTCCCAGGGCAGGTGTTGGGGAAGGTCCCCATGGTGGCATTTCCCTACAGCAGGCCTTATGCCAGAGGGTCATGTTGTAGGGACATCCATGGTGGAGGTTTCTTGGGATGGAAAATGACAGGTGGTAGGAGTGTGCTGGGGGATGCCACAGGGGGTGGCTTTCATGTAGCACATGTAGCAGGGACCTTATTATTAGGGTCTGCTGCAACTGGCTCCCAGCCTGGCACATGGCACTTGGGAGACAAGACAGCAGAGTGGCCTGGGGAGGGGCGGGGGGCCATGCAGTCACCAGCCTGGATTGCAGCCCAGAACCTGTCACCTTCTAAGGTGGTGGGGAGGTGCCCTGTGGTCCGAACTGAGGCCTGGCTTCAGGGCTCTGGGATGGCTGGAGCTGCACAGAGCGCCCCCTGCCTCTTGCCTGCCCCTGGGGCACCAGGGCCCTGAAACCCAGAGGGGAAAGACCAAGGGGGTTCCGAATCTTGAGTCTTTTCTCCTTTGCTGGCAGCGGTCGCCCTGCCCTACCCCAAGCCCCTCTCTGACATCAGTGACTCTAGATGTGTTTCCTTGAGTTAATTCTGGCCCTGACTTCAGGCAGTTCTAGCTAGAAGAGAAATTGAGTCCTTAGCTATTTCCACTGAACCCCCTGCCCTACTGCAGGCTCCATGGCTCCCGGTGACCCTCACATCACAGCCCCACCCCAGCGGGGCAGGAGGAGGGCTGGGGAAGCTGCTTGAGTCCCAGGGCAGGGACAGGGCACTGCGTGGGAGACAGGCGGGGCCCTAGGCCCAGCTCAGTGCCACTGCACTATGGCAGCGACCTCAGCCAGCGGCCTCTCGGGCCCCTCTCCTCATTCGTAAGAGGAAGGGCTGGACCAGCTGATCCCCAAGGCACTGTCCAGCCTCAGCGCTCTTCTCTGCTGGCAGCATCAGGCCTAGAGGGAGACGACAGGGGGCAGTGGAGGGGAGCTGCTGCCTCCCCCCAGTGGGAGCCACGGCCTGGCCTCCAGGGCTCCCATGCGGAGGCCTCCTCTCTAATCCCGCTTCCCGGGCCCTCTACTCACGCCGCAGCACGCCAGTGGGGAAATGAGGCTAAATGGATTTTTAAAGCTCCGTGCAGCTTCCCTGCCAGAAGGCCTGAGTCTCGGCAGAGTTGAGCCCTTGGGCAGCATTCACGAAGATGTGGCTGATTCCCTCCTAATTGCTAAATGAGGGATAAGCTACCAGGGGGCTAAGAGCTCAGGACTGGGTTTTCAGGGACATGTGGGGGAGGCAAGGAACCAGGGGAATCCAGTGTGTCTGCCATGGGCCAGAAGCTGCTCCGGAATGTCTGCAAAGAAAGGGGCTTGGGGGCAGAGAGCTGGTTGGAAGGGGCACGTGGGTCGGGGGCGAAGGGGGGTCTCTTGCCTTAGGAGAGGCGGGACAAAGTAGTGTTAAGAGAATGGCTTTCGACCCAGACAGCCTGGGTTCAAATCCTGGCACCACCTTTTGCTAGCCGTGTGACCTTGGGTGAGTCACTCAACCTCTCAGCTTCCTTATCTGCAGGATGGAAACGATCTTAACAATGGCTCCTCGTTCAACATTTTCAGTTAACCCGAGCGGAGTGCTGGAGCTCTACCTGGCGTGTGGTGGGGGCTGTGATATTGATTATTGTTGTCTTGAAGCTGTACTTATACAACCTTACATAAGATTCAGAGCATGTCACTTATTTCTATCAAAAGGGGTACAAGTGGGGATTATGGGAGGAGCCCCCTTGGCTCAAGCCCCATATTCGCACCCTCATTGGGGTGAGAGCCTGGAGTCCCTCCCAGGCCGGGTCATGGGCTGGGGTAGGGGGGAAGCAGGCTTTGTTGGGAAGGGGGGCAGGGGATCCTGAAAGAAAATAGGCCCAAGGAACGAGCAGCGAGCTGTTACCAAGGAGGAGGTGACCTCCTCGTCTTTAATTGCTGAGCTGAGCAGTCCTCCGGGAGAATCACGGGAAAATGGATATTTTTGGAAATGCTTCCCATCCATTTGAAGATCAGATGCAGCAGGAGGGAGGGCATTAAGGAAAGGCCTAGAAGGCCTGGCAGCACCTCATCAGTAAATGGGTTAATTAGTGCCTAATGATTAGGTGCAGCTCTGGGTTCCCAGTTGCTACTGATTTTACGGGTGTGTTCCTCATCATTCTGGCTCTGGGGGCACCTGGAACTGGGGAGGCTTCCAGCCCTGCCCCCACGTCAGGGACCCATCTCCCAAGCTCCTCTCCTGGGAACACAGAGGGAAGGTCGAGGGGGCCGAGAGAGCACCTCACCCAAATCTCCCACCCATCCTGCAGGTGGAGACACCGAGGCTGGGAGAGGGCCAGTGCCGAGGGTTTCTTAACCAGCTACAGATGGAGCTGGGGCTGGGACCCGGGACTCCCGGCTTCCACTTAAGGCCGGGCTGGCAAGTCGAGCAGCATGTGCCCAGGCACTAAAAGTTTATTTGGGGCCTGTCAGTTCACCCTTGGGGACACAAGTGGAGGAGCTCGTGGAGAATGGCCAAGGCTGGCTGCAAAGGTAGGCAGGGCCGTAGCCATCGGAAGCCTGGCTGGCCCCATTCAGGGGTATGGACTAGAACATGGAGGTAGTGGGGAGCCACAGAAGGGTTGACTCCAAGCACAGGTGTGACAGGGTCAGATGAGGAACTAGGGTTAGACACTGGGGTACCTCAGACGGGGCAGCGGCATTGGGGATGGAGGGTCAGACACGAGGATCACTTTGCAGGCGGAATTGACAGGACCTAGTGCTGTCATGAAAGAGGAGCCTCCTCCTAGAAGCACCCCACCCCCCCGCCCATGCCCCAGCCCAGAAGCAGTGGGCGCACAGCACGCAAAGGGGGCGCTGGGAGGACCCTGATTTCCAGGTTTGGCTCCGCCTCCAAGCTTTGTGACCTCCGTCAGCTACCAGCCTCTCTGTCTCCATTTCATAACAGTAAAATGGGCCCTGCTAAATTGGAGGCTGGTGGGCTGTGTACTCCAAAATCTCCTTTTAGGTCCTCCTGCCCGTGTTTCCTCCTCTCTCCGCGCCCAGTCTTTCTTCTCCTTCTGGGGTCCAGGATGTGGTTGCAGACATGTGAAAATGCGTGCTCCGGCTGTTCCCGCCTCCTGCCCAGGCTCAACAGCTCCCCAGGGCTCTCCCACCCCTCCTTGGTTGCAGCCCCCAAGCCCAAGCCCCTTCCTCCAGCTGATAAAGGAGAGAGGGGCAGGAGAAAGAATTGGGAGTTTGAGCTGGACAGTCTTAGAAGCCATGTCAACCAGCCCTCTCTGTCCTCAGACAAGGGGCCGGAGGCATAAGAGGGGGAACTGTGCTAAAGGTCATGCAGTGAGTCTTGGAGTGAACCACCACGTGTCACTGGTCACCCTCGGGACCCTCTTGGGGCTCTGAGCTCCGGCCCACCAGAGCCCAAGGGCCCACCCAGGGACTCCACCCACCCCTCAGATAGCTCAGGGCCCATGGCCTGCAGCTGCTGCTCTCTTGATAAGCAGAGGCTGTGAGTCATTGACGGGGGAGAGCAAATTAATTCTGTGGGTGGCAGGTGGTATAGCAAGGAGCTGCAAAGCCCTCAGGGGCAGGCACAGGGCCCCAGGGAGCGAGGTGTTTATATGGGGATCGAGTATCCAAACTGACCCTGGGTCTGTCCTCTCCCGCCCCACCCACCTGTGGGCCCCTGCCTCGGATCTAAAACTCTGAGTCCGCACCTCCTGGCTGGAGGGCCCTGGGGAGGCCTCATAACCTCTCTGAGGCTAGGATTCTCGTCCGCCACGTTGGGGCTATTCTGACGATTCCTGCCCTACCTCAGGGGGTGTCGTGGGGTCACATTGACTGGCCCAGTCTGTCAACTGCAGAAGAAAGTGTCAGACAGACCTGGATGCAGTTCCAGCTGCCCCTCTTACCGGTTGGTGACCTCGAGCAAGTTCTCTAACCTCTCTCAGCCTCAGAGGCCTTAGTTGCATGCTGAGCACTACACAGTTCCATGCAGGGTCTTGCAGGGGGCGCTATGAGTCAGCAGTAAAGAGCACACAGCGCCCAGCAGAGTACAGATCTGGCCTTTGGTAAATGGTAGCTGTACCCATGAGAGGTATAGTTGTGATTATTGTTATTGTCATTATCATTATTATTTCCCCACCTCCAACGAGTCCCAAGCTGTCCCCATCCTGTCCCACCTCCCGGCACGTGGCCCGCCCTCCACACGCTCCCTTACTTGTGGTGTTGTAGCGGACACCGTAGAAATAGGCAGGGCAGGGTCGAACCACCAGCTGCCCCGCGGGGCTCCGGGGCCAGCAGGTGCCAATGAGGTCCACGGATGCATTGCACTGCAGTCCTGGGGGCAGAGACGGCAGGTGAGGCAGAGCGAGAGCCCCACTCCAGTGTCCTACCCCACTCCCCACTGGCCCAGACTCGCATGCCAGCTGAGGACAGAGCAGGAGCAATGACCCCAGAGCAGAGATGCAGAGGAGATGCATCCTATGCAGAGGAGACACCGGGGGAGGGAATCTAAATTCAAGGCTATGGCACTAGGGAGCCAATGTAGGTTCCAGAGCAGAGGAGGACAGAGATGCTGGAGGTGATGGCAAAAGCTGAGGTCCTGGCTGGCACTTAGAGGAAGGCTGCACATGCTTCAGGTCCCCTGCCCTGACTTCATGGCCTGGAACAGCTTGGAACAAACCCAGCCAACCCTTAACCCAGCCCCCTCACACAACTCTAGAGTCAAACCACATCTGCACTGGCCTGCAGGGAGGACCCAGCTAAGGGAGGAACCAGTTAGCCCACCTTCCAGCTGGCCTGAAAACTGCATTTACTGAACATACACTGTTTGTACTCTGATCTGTGTTGGGCCCTAAGAGAGGACTGACTGAGGAGGGGACTATAGGAAGAAAAAGGGGGAAGACACCATCTGGGGGAGTAGAAAGGACACTGAACTAGGAGTCTGGAACACTGGCTTCAGACTGGGCTGTGCTACTAATTTGCTGTGCGACCGTAAGCAGGTTGCTTGTCCTCTCTGGGCCTTAGTGTCTTTATCTGTAACAAAATGAAGTGGTTGGATCTGATCAGAAATTCTTAATCTCAGTCTACTGGAAGCTTTAAGGGTTCACAGTCTTGGAAATTAAATGAAAAATTTGGTTTATACATGTATTTTAATTGGGAAAGGCTCTCCTTACATTCTCAGAGGGGTCTGTGACTCAGAAAAGGATGTACACAGTTGAACCGGAAAGAGAATGTCAAAGTCCTCCTCCAAATATTTGCCCTGAATTAAAAGCTTTTTGGAGTGGAGTGTGTGTGTGTGTGTGCCTATGCTGGGACAGAGCTGAGGCCATGCTAACACTTCTGGAGAGCAGGGGGGCGCTTCTGGTCTCCAACAGGTGGGCGCTGGGCTGAGGACAGTCCTGGCATTCCCCTCCCTGATGCTGCCCCTTATTTCTCTGCCCTTGGATGCCCCTCTCCTGGCACACGGGACCTGTAAGAACCAGTGTGCCCATCATGATGGGAGAGGGTGAGTAATTCTTGGGACTGGCACAGGAATGCACAGACAAGCCAGGCAGAGCCATGAACCAGTGGGGCCAGCCTCTTCAGGGCTGGGCATGAGCAGCTGCCAAACCCTGGCTGGCGCCCGCCTGCCCTCTCCTCCCCAGATGAGCCTGACTCCAGTCTCTCAGGAAACAGCCCTGGGTTCAGTTGGCCTCCTTTCCCTGCTGGACACAGGGCAGCGCTGAGCACCACTTGTACCAAATGCTGCTTTTTCTTTCTAATCAAAGCTATTCAGAGGGTGTTCGTGCAAATCAGGGCTCAAGGGCAGAGGCCTTGAGGCCAAGTGGTTTAATTGAAAGAGAAAGAAATCTGGACCGGGGCTTAATGGACACGAGGAGCCGGCAGGCCTGGCAGCTGGGGTGGGCCAAGCCCTGGTGCTCTGCCACCGCAGAGCCTCCAAGAACGCCTCAGGGAACAGTGGTGGGGGCCGGAACGCCAGGAAAGCAGGGCCGTGCGTGGCAAGAGCGCACCTGGTTGGGACTTTAATCTGTCCTGGGTCATGCTGCCAGTGCGGAGTCCAGAGGAGGTGGGGAGCCGGAGGCACATGGCCGCGGGGAGGGAGGGATGTTGTGGCCTGTGCTCAGCTTTTTCAAAGCCCTTCTTCATATATTTTGTTTGATCCTCATCTGCTCTGTAATGTCAGCATTCACTTCTTACAGGTGAGGAAACTGAGGCCTCGGGAAGTCAAGTGACTTGCCCAAGTTCACGAGTCAATGAGTGAAGGAACGAGACTCAGGATCGGGTGCTTTGGACTCTAAATTGAGTGCTCTCTCCATTACACCACGTGGTGTGCCAACAGAGGGAGGGGACATCAAGGAGGCAGTGGGGAGGGGAGCAGCAGTTACTGAGGGCTGACTGTGTGCAGGCACGTGCAAGGTGCTCTGCGTACACCATCTCTTTTAAGGACACCATCGTACCTTCCTTAGAGGCTGGTCATTCATTCACTCACTCACTCATGCACAGCATCTCCCGAGCCAGGCACTGGGAAGATTAAATGGGATATCCGGTGGGGCAGCAGCTGGAACGGCCTACCACACCCCGTCAGTCAGCATGGCTTCTGCCTTCTCTCCCTCCCTCTCTCTCCTGCCCTGGACAGTTCCCCAGAGCCCCTCTTGCAAAGAACAGAGGACAGGGTAGGACTGGGCACCAACAACAGCCAGGACCAGGCCAGAGCCAAGGCAGGGACCGGCCACTGAGCGGGTGGCCCTTCTGGCCTTGGGGACCAGGTACCAGCCCCTGCCCAGAGCCCTGACCTCGCCCACAGCTGCTCGTGGGATATGGGGGTGGGAGTGCACAGGGCAGATGCCATTTGCCCCTAGTCTGTTGTATGGGTTAGGATTCCATAGCACCCACTATGGGTCTCACACCACCTGCCAACGTGGGCGCTAATTCTTCCTGTTTTGCAGTCAAATTACTTATCCGCAGTCAGACACTAAGAGGCAGAAGTGGGTTTTGAACGCTGGTCTTCTGACGCCAGCCCAGTGCTCTTCCCAGGGCACCACAGACAGCCCCGGTCTGGGCAACTGGTCCTCATAGCATTTGGTAGCACCTGTCTCTGCGCCCGGGGTTCCTCCGTGTCAACGTGCCCCCCTCCCTCCCTTCCTCCTGCACAGAAGGCTGCGTGGAGGCGGCGCGCGGGACACTGCCGCAAACGCGACCTTTACATTAAGAGCCCAGAAAATCCTGGAGGGAATGAAAGTCTGTGTGAGAGACAGGAAGAGGCTGCAGGAGAGAAGAGAAGCTTAACTAAAGCAGTCAGGAGACAAATGGGGGGCGGGGGCGGGTCGAGGGCATGGTGGAGCCAGATGGGGCGTGGCCAGAGGTAGAGGGCCAATCAGGAGTGGCGGCGGAACTCAGGCTCGGAAATACGGCAAGAAAGTTCAATAGGGGGGTTGGCCTTGTGGTTTTAGGGAGCAGGCCCAGCAATCTTCTAGCCCGAGGAAACAGCAAGTACCAAGGGCCTGAGGCAGGTGTATGCTCAGTGTATCTGAGGTGTTGACATCACTTGGTGGCTCAGCCCCTCTTTCATAGGTCAGCTAGATCCCTTCAGGGTCTTTGGCGTGGGGGGGGGGGGGGGGGTGGTTAGGAAGAGTGGGTGGGTAGGGGTGTGTGTGTGTCAAATGGACTAAAGTAACGCATAGACCTGGGCTGGTGGCTTCCTCCTTCCCCACACATGCGCAGAGCAGACGCACGGGGCCCAGCCTCCGACTGCTGTTGGGAGCATTGTGGTGGGACTGCACCAAATCGCTGCGAATGGGGGGAAAGGAGAGAGGAACAGTGTGGAGGGCTGCCACCCGCCTCTGAAAACACCCTGCTCAGTCAGGGTCCCGGGGCCTGCTTTAATGAACGGAGAAGAACGCTTTGAAGGTGGCCCATTTAATGCTTGTGCACAGTCTGGCACCGGTTTCTCCCCCCAGGTGGATGACATAGTTCCGTTCCCATCAGACTCAGGGTCCATGTGTGTTCAGCAGATCCTTCCGCGGTCGGTAACTTCAGAGGGGAACCGGAACCTGGCTCCTGTCCCCAGTTCTGTCCGGGCTCCCATCACACGCTTCTGAAGGAACCAGCGTAGGTGGGCGCTTGGCAGCAGCCCTGCAGCTAAGAAACCCATCCCCCCGTTTGGTTTAAGCCCAAGAGAAGGACTCAGCCAAGGCCGCCCAGAGCGGGAGCAGCCAGCTGGCCCGAGGGCGGCCTCCGAACACGCATCTCGCCCATTCAGAGGACGGTGCTGCTGCGATGGATGGGCGGGGGCTCTGCCTGGGTCACCTGGCATGGAGAGGGCGGCAGAGGGCAGGGAGGGGGTCCTGCGCTTCACTCGCTGCCTTGTGCTTGGGCTCCTCCTCGGCTAGGCGGGGTGGAAAGATACCTTTGTAAGGCCTCTGATTCATCAGGACAGGTGGGTGGGAGCCTCCTGCCCTGTGGGTCTGTGGGCTTCATTCTGGCATTCTCAGCACTTAGTACAGTGCCAGGCACATAGTAGGTCCGAGGAAAATTGGGGGCTGTGTGCCAACCCAATATGGGCGAGGGAAACTGCAAGATGACTCTGCGCTCCTGGATGACTGACCACACCGGGCCCTGGGCACTATGGCTCTCTGGGTGGTCACATGCGTGGTGGTGGGAAAGTCTGGAATCAAGCCCATTTGATTCTAATCTTGGAGCCACTGCTTAGTAACTGTGTATGCTTGGGCAAGTTGCTTAACCTCTCTGAGCCTTCGGTTCCTCGTCTGTAAAATGAGGATAAAAATTCTTCCTGACAGTATCGTTGTGATGCTTCACTGAGATTAAAGCACTTAGAATGGTGTCTAACACATAGTAGGCACTGAAGAAATATTAGCTATCATGAATTATTATTATCATCCATGACCGTAAGACAGGGGATGGGAACTGATGACCCTGGGTCCTCGTTAACGATGTCATTCCGCTTGTCTCTGATGTCATTAGTCAATAATCCTATTACTTTCTGGCATTGTCGTATTCATGCCATGATTTTATGAGTTGCCAAGTCTGTGATCTGCCACATGATGGAGCCTCGGCCCTGGGGACCCCGCCTCCCTGCTCCTGGCATGTGAGAGGCCCTCCAAAGGCCCCAGTTCAGTGCCAGCCACCCCAGCCAGACGCCCATCCATCTGTCCTGGTCCCTCCACCCCACCCTCACCATCTGTCTCTACCAGTGCCCGTCAGTAGATGGTAGGTCTCGGTGTCGGAAGACAAATAGCGCATTATCAGAGGCTGCTGTGGAGGGTGATGGATCGTGCGTCATGGAGCCAGCCAGGCTGGGTTGGGCTGGGGGCAGGCGCACAGAGTACAAACCATCGGGGAATGAACGACATTCATCACGGCCTGTTGCCTCCAAGGACAGGTGACACCTGCGTGGGCTCAGGGATGTCACTCCTCTGGAGCACAAGCAAGTTAATGGAGCCTGACCTGGCCCCTGTGCGTGGGGGACCGCAGGCCGGGCCCTTCCTCTGAGGCCCAGCCTCGGAGCACGTCTCCTTCCTCCCAGTTTCTCTCTGCCAGAACTCCAGAATCTTGCTCAAGAACTTTTCTGTTCCCCATGACCCGGCTTAGCCAGCTTTGCAGCCAGATGCTCCGGGCTCCCAGTACCTCCCCAGGCTTACTGCTCTTCCTTCCTCATCCCTCCCCTGTCCTTCCACCAAACTCACCTGCTGGCCCTCAGTCAGCTCTAGCTTTGGCTCAGAGCACTGGTTCTTCTCTGCCGGTCCATGCTCAGAGCCTCTCAGAGACTCACCTTGAAACCTCCTCCTTCAGGAAGCCTTCCTGGCTTCACACCACCCCTGATCTAACCTCCTGCCACCTCCACTGTAGTCAGCAATTCATGGCAAGTGCCTTCCCCTCATTCCAGCTATACAGTAAGCACTTTTAAAAGCCTGGTGATGTTACCAACAATAATAGATAGTACTCAGTTTGTGAATTATCGCCATAAAATGTAGTGCGTTCAATCAAAACAGATCTTTGAGGCAGGCATCACCCCTCCTGCCCCCACCCCCTTTTACAGTTGGGCAAAGTGAGGCTCAAGGGCGTCAAGGGCATGCTCATCCTTGTGGCTACCAGTGGGGCCCCTCAGGCAGACAGGACAAGATCGAGTGCCCCTGTGAGCACGGGACCCCAGTGGGCCTTCTCCAGTGCAGTGCTCATTCCTCTCCCTGCGGCCTCCCCAGGCAGGGTACGGCGGACCTGGCGGCAGCAGTTCCAAGTGGTAAAGGCCTCTCCTGCGGGCCTGGGTGCCAAGACTGCTGCGTCAGCTGCCCTGCTGCCCCAGGTCGTTCCTCTGCCAGCGCACGCCTTGCGTGCCGCCTCCCAGTACTCGAGCTGGTGGTCTTGACTCCCGGACAAGACTGCAAGCCCCTCTTTGTCCCCTGAGTGCCTTGCATGGGCCCCAGCGCACAGTAGGTGCTCAGTTAATGAGTTAGGTTGAATCTGGAGAGACCTGAAGAGGAAAAGGAATCACCCAAGTACAGTGAGCCCCCCCAAGGACCCTCGGGTGCAGGGGACCCTCTCCACCTGGTGACAGGGGCCAGGGTGAGGGGTCAGAAACCACACCCAAAGTGGGGAAATGTCTGGTCTTGGAAGCCAAAGACCTAACTCTCCTGTGCCTCAGTTTCCTCGTCTGTACAGATGCTGGGTCTCAGACACTTGTGAGCATGAACTAAGATAATTGTACAAGAGCACTTTGTCAATGGTGAGGTTACACGAGTGTCAGTAACGTTTGCAGTCACGCGGTATTTTCTCTTGAGGAGGCTGTGGAGCAGGGTGTTAAAGAACATATCAGGAGGCCAGGCTGCCTGGGCTCAGATTGTGGCTCCAGCACTGACTAATCCTCCTCAGTTTCCCTATGTGTAAGATGAGAATCACAGCACTACCTCAGAAAGTCGTTGTGAAAACTGGGTTAATGTACCTCCAGTACCCCCAGCAGGGCCTGGCACAGGGCTAGCATCACACAGTCTTACGCTTTGGGCATTTTCAGCGGAGAAAAGAGCAGCCTTTCTTCCTTGCTGATGCCTGAGTCACAGCCCAGCCCTCCGCTCTGTTGATTCTCATGCAGCAAGGCTGGGGCGACTTCCCCTGTTGCCCGCCCCAAAGCTGGGAAGATGACTACTTGGCACACTTGCCACATGCCCCTGCGGTGCCCGTGGCAGATGCTGTCCCCTAATTGCAGCTCTCTTTCCCACCACACTTACACTCAACCTCAGGACCCTCCTCAACACAGTACTCCGTGGAGTTACAATGAATGGCTTGGAGCCCTAGAGAGGACATGCCTCTGCTCTTCCTGCCCTAGGGCACAGCTCTGTGTGCAGGCCCTGGGAGACCTGGGGTGATTTGGGGCCTGTGGGGACCTGGAATCTTGCAGGAGGCTGGTGGGGGTACTCACCAGAGATATTGCTGGCTGGGGACAGGCTCTCGCAGTGCTGGTCCTGAAGGGAGGCGGAGATGGGGTTCAGCCCCAGGAGGAGAAGGGCCTGTGGGCACAGGGAGGCGAGGGGCATGGTTAAACTGTGCCGTGAGCAGCCTGGCTGCAGCTTCCTGCATCCTCTCTCCTCGCCTTGCATGTCTCCTCCCAAACACCCCTCCCCCCAGCCTCTTTGCCCTCCTCCCCCGTGTCCTCTCTGCCCAGAAGGTCTGGAGCTGAGGGGCCCGGAGGGGAGGCTGATAACAGGAGGAGCCCAGGTTCTCAAGGGAGAGGTGAGTTTTCTCCCTGAGGGCTGGGGGCCTCCAGGGAGGCTCTGCCTGAGGAAGTTGCCTCCATCCCCAAGGGGTCCCAAGGATGGCTCAGCTGTGTCCCAACACACACACACACACACACACACGCAAACACACACACACACCCCCTCCCACCTGCCTGCTGAACACCCACAGGCTCACAGAAGAGCCTCATTAGTTCGCACCCCTCCACCAAGCTGTAGGGCTCAGGGCCTGTTGAGCTGCTTCCGGGGCCCTCATCCCGGGCCTGGTAATTATGGGTCCCTACAAACTGTGCCTCACCGGTTACCAAGCCCTTTTACATCTGTGACGGCACTTAATTTGCCCTGGGCTGGTGTGGCTCTCCCTGTTTGCAGATGAGGAAACTGAGGCCCAGGGGCTGAAGGGATAAATGTGTGTGGAAAGACGGCTGCCCTATTCTGGGGAGAATCTTTGCCCCTCACCCTCACCGGGGGCTCCATGTCACTCTGATTCCAGAATTTCAGCCCACTTGGGAGGAGAATGGGATGGGCCTCACACCTGGAGGGCTGCCTTTCTTCAACTCCCATCCCCACCCAATCGTGTGTCCCCTCCCTTGAGGTCACCACCCTCCCTACAGATTTAGAGTCAAAAGAGACCTGGTATCACTGTGTTGCCATGGGCAGGTTACTTGACCTCTCTGTGCCTCAGTTTCCTCACCTGTAAAGACAGGTACAGTCATGTGCTGTGTAATGATGTTTCGGTCAACAATGGGCTGTGTATACGATGGTGGTCCCATAAGATTATATGGGAGCTGGAAAATTCCTATGGCCTAGTGACCTCATAGCCATGACGTAGTACCACACATCACTCCTGTGTCATGTTGATGCTGGTGACAGCTCCGTGCGTGTTATTGCCCCGACGACCTTCCCGTGGGACAAGATGTGGAGGCGGAAGACAGTGACATTGATGGTCCTGACCCTGTGTCAGCCTAGACTGATGTGTGTGTTTGTGTCTTAGATTTTACCAAAAAAAGTAAAAAAATAAAATTAAAAATTAAAAAAATTTAAAAAGCTTATAGAATAAGGACATAAAGAAAGAAAATATTTTTCTTTTGTACACAGCTGGTGTACAATATTTGTGTAAACGGTCTATAAGTTTTCATTGTACACATCTGTACAACGTGTTTGTATTTTAAAGATTTTATTTTTCCTTTTTCTCCCCAAAGCCCCCAGGGACACAGTTGTATATTTTTAGCTGTGGGTCCTTCTAGTTGTGGCATGTGGGGTGCCGCCTCAGCGTGGCCTGATGAGTGGTGCCATGTCCGCGCCCAGGATCCGAACCGGCAAAACCCTGGGCTGCCGAAGCGGAGAGTTCGAACTTAACCACTTGGCCAAGGGGCCGGCCCCTGTGTTTGTATTTTAAAGTGTGTTATTACAAAAGAGATACAAAGTTAAAAAAATTTAAAGTTTATAAAGTAAAAAAGTTACAGTAAGCTAAGGTTAATTTATTATCAAAGACAGAGTATTTTTACAGATTTAGTGGAGCCTCAGTGTCCAGCATTTATAAAGCCTACAGCAGTGTCCGGTGGTGTCCTGGGCCTCCACATTCGCTCACCCTCACTCACTGACCCACCAGAGCAACGTCCTGTCCTGCAAGCTCCATTCTCAGTCAGTGCCCTAGCCAGGTGCACCATTTTTGATCTTTTTTTTTTTTTTTTTTTAAAGATTTTATTTTTTCCTTTTTCTCCCCAAAGCCCCCCGGTACATAGTTGTGTATTCTTCGTTGTGGGTTCTTCTAGCTGTGGCATGTGGGATGCTGCCTCAGCGTGGTCTGATGAGCAGTGCCATGTCCGCGCCCAGGATTCGAACTAACGAAACACTGGGCCGCCTGCAGCGGAGCGCACGAACTTAACCACTCGGCCACGGGGCCAGCCCCCATTTTTGATCTTTTATACCATATTTTAGTGTACCTTTTCTGTGGTGAGGTGTGTTCAGATACACACACACCTGCCACTGTGTTACAATCGCCTGCAGTATTCAGCACGGCACGTGCTCACAGGCTTGCAGCCCGGGAGCAGGAGCTATGCCATGTGGGCTGGGTGTGGAGCAGGCTCCACCCTGTGCTCTGTGCAAGTGCACTCTGTGATGTTCACACAACGACAAAATCGCCTAACGACACGCTTCTCAGAATGGACCCCCGTCATCAAGTGACACAGGCTGGTATCACAGCCCCCTCCCAGGCTCACACGTGCAGTGTGTGTGGACGTCCTTGGTGGAGCACAGCACGCTCCCTGACGGCAGGGTTTGGTTTTGTTCATTGCACTCAGATTTGCTGAACACGGTAATGAACTACGTTGAGTTTCAGGTCTACCATAGGTTGCGTGGATGGATTTGAATTTGGTGATTTTTATTTAGCTGTGGGTTGGAGTCCAGGTAGTTGTTGCCCTTGGGATTTGATCTGCAAGGGGATGAGAAGCGCTTGGGGGTGGGGATAGGGGGCCTTGTCACCAGCCCCTCCCTCCAGTTGTGGGGACTTGGGCGGCTGATGATCAGCAGAGCTCCGTCTGTCTGACTAGGCTCCCGGGACATTGACTTCCATCGAGGTTTGTCTCCACATGCCACCCCTGCTCCCCTGCTCTTTCTTCCCGGGGTCCCCTCGCTGGGACCCTCTCTTGGGCCCCCCAGCCATGGCATCTCAGCCCTAGCTCATTTCCACACAGTCTGCAAAATTCTCTGCAGAACTTGAGACACAGACGTAGATCCAGAAGCTGTCGTAGCCATTTCACAGTGGGAAAGTGAGATCGGGAGAGAGGCAGCAGCTTGTCCGAGTCCCATGGTGAGCGAGTTTCCAGTTTAGCCTAGAGCTGGGGCGGTGGCCCACGGGAGCAGAACACGGCCATCACGTGCAGGGCCAGGAGTAGGGTGAGGAGAGTGAGGTACTCACCTCAGGTGCAACATTTAAGGGGACCCCAAAAAACTTAGTAGTCAAGATAGACAATATTTTAAGGCAATATTTTTCAAAACTCTAAATTAACGCAAAAAAATCCATGATGAACAAAATATCAAAAACAAAAAAAAAATCAGGATCAGTGACAGTGCTGGGCCATATTGCAGCGTGGGGTAAAAGGAAAAATCAGTAATAACATTAAAATACTAAATACTATGTATCTTGGTTACTGAGATTTTGGGAACCTCCTTAAATTTTGTGCTTGAGGAGGCTGCCTCACTCACCTCACCCTAGTCCCCGCCCCTGTGCCTTCTTCCTAAGCTGGACTCCACCCCATCTGACCCCTCCCTGTGGCTTAACATCCTCCTTTCCCCTGGACTCCTCCCTACTCACCCCTTCTGGACCTCAGGACCTTCCCCCAATCCTTAGAAGCAAACTGACCTACTCTTTTCCAGAACTTTCCTCGCTCACCTGCCATGAATGTCCTCTCCTACGCTGCCCCACCCCCACCAGTGCCACCCACCTTCTCCGGTACCTGCCCCTTCCCACTCCTGTCCCATGACAAAGGCAGGCTCTGCTCCCCTCTTTCCCACCTTACATTCCAAGGTGGCATCAAACGCTCCCCACTCTGGCTCAGAGCCTATCCCGCCCCCATCTCCTGCAGGAAGCCCCCCTAGACCCCGATGGTTCACCCATATCGTCCCCTCAGTGCTGTGCCTGAGTCCTTAGTGGGCTTGTTTGCTCTATTCCCTCGCTGGCACACTCCTGTCACATCATAGGGGTCTTCCTGCTCTTAATGGGCCAAGCTCCAGGGTCCCGAGAGCACGGCCCCCGCCCTGCACCCCCTCCTGTGCTCAGTGCTCAGGATGCTCAGCAAATGGCTCTGGGGTTAGCTACCTCGCTCCTGGGAGTCCGGAGTGATTAGAACAGACCCGTTCGTCTCTCTGGCCCCAAGGAACTTCCAACACTTTATTAATCAGTAATTACACTTCACAGTCCCCAGAGGGATGGAGAAATATCTTTACCCTCATTTTCCAAATGAAAACGCAGAAGCAGAGAGAGGAGGAAGCCACAGGCCAGCCAGTGGCTCTTGTTAGCTAAGCAGACAGCAGTGTCCTTGCTGACAAACCTTTGCTGCTCAGCTCAGCAGTCAGCAGGGACCCAGCTCTGCGCGGTCCCCAGAGGGGGGCTGCTCAGCTGGGTCAGAGGCCCCTTCTGGAAGGGGACTAGAAATCTCTGCCCCCAGCTTGTCGCCCTACCCCTGCCACCACCCAACACACATGCACACACAGAATGGGCGTGGGGCTCCCAGAACCTGCTCAGCCACAGGCAAATTAAAAAAACCGGAAACACCCTATTCGAAAATGTCAGCCCTGCTACCTGACGTTCCACCGTCATCCTTCTGATCCTGACGCCATGATCCCTGCTTTGGTCTTTCAGATCCCCTTGGAATCACGCCACCCTCTACTCACATGGAATGACTTATCCCATCCCCAGCGCACCCGGGGAGCCTGCTGGTGTCTGTACACCCCTGTCCCTGGAGTTCTTTGCCCCTCCTCACCCTACCCCACCCCTTCACCTGGTGAACTCCGCAGCCCTCCAAAGCCAGTTCCAGGGCCCCTGTCCTGGGCAGCATCTTCCCCAACATGCAAAAGCAAAGTCACTCAGTCACCCCATCAATGTGCACATGTCGCCTCAGTACGCCCTGGTGCCCCTGACACTCACAAACAGAGACCTCAGGCTACTCCCAAATGCATGAAACCGCCTCTGTACAAAGAATTACACCCCAGGGTTCTAATTAACTGGCAAATACACAGGTCAGAAGGTCTGAGCTTCGCATCTTAATGTCCTG